ACCATAGCAGAACTTGGACATCCACCACTGATACCACTATTCTTGAGCATTATCTGGATATTGTACCTCTGTATCACTACTGAAACAAGCACATTGTAACAACTTAAAGTCTTCTATCACATGTTATTGCCCTTCTTCTAATAGACTATAAAGCTGCTTCTACAGCCTTAAAACAGACTGGTTTACAACTAGTGTATGGTTGTCTATGATAGATATTATTACATAAGAAGTATACAAGATGTGTGACTGATAAAACACCAATTGCTCAAATTGAGGCCTGAGTATACTGAAGTCAACATGTGAAGTCCAAGTTGTGGCCCAAGTACCCCAAGTACCCCAAGTATATAGACTTGGGTCAAGTCCATGTACTTGGGACCAAGTACATGGACTTGGGGCCAAGTACACAGACTTGGGGCCAAGTACATGGACTTGAGGCCAAGTACACGGACTTGAGTCCAAGTACACGGACTTGAGGCCAAGTACACGGACTTGAGTCCAAGTACATGAACTTGGGCCCAAGTATGGGTCCAAGTCCGTGACGTTTTCCTGATGTGAGGCCATCCTACTTGAGGGATTAGAGCATGCTACTATCAAGGCCCGCCCAGCCAAAATAATGACAGTTACTGCTATTATAGCCTGTCTTCGGCGCTCTATATGAGCCCGATGGATTGCTTGGTGAATTTTGACAGCTGCTCTTGTGTAGACCACGGTGAAGCAGGGATGAAGCAGAGCCCATCTGATAAGCCATAGCTATTGGTATACTAGATACATGTACGAGTTCAGGGCGCTTGTCTCCTCCGGATTTCACGGATACTCCGCTCCTGTAACTCTAACTCGCGCAGAAATTCTCGGAAGTGCCGCCACGTGACAAAATGCCGGTGACTCGTAACTCCAACTCTTTGCCGAACAGGCCCTAAGCCTTGCGCATGCTTTTGTGCGAACCAGATGATGGAGACAAGGATTACAATGAGGATAGGGTAGCAGATTGGGAGCCAGGCAAGATGATAGGACGCGTGGTGATCATCGATTCAATACGACTGTTAATAAACCTCGGCGGCGTTAGAAAATCTTCTTAACAGTTAATAACGCTAGAGTTAATAACAGTTATTAATCCCGGTTAGAAACGGCCTGATTCGGGCGCCTGTTCATAACTCTCTGTTCGAAAACGATTCTTTTTCTAACCATACCCTAACGTCATTGGCAGAGTGTTCACCGCCCGGGTCCTCCACTGGCATCGCCGCAGCTTGGTCGTCTCATTCCTTCGTGCAATAGCCACTGTCCGCTCTCAGTAACTCCCCGACAATGGTGCTCAATCAGTCTTCGCCCACGACGGCGTTTTCGTACCCACGACCTCGCTCCGCCACGGCTGCGCCCTGACGTGGAAGCCATCGTGCCACGACACAAACAGAGATGCTCAGGCGCTGTGCCGCGTATCGAGCCCACTCTTCCCCGCCTTGTGTCTCTCACTCCTTCAACCGGACATTGCGTCTCCCTACCCTCGTATATATACCGCAGACACCGACGTCATTCAGCAGTGTTTGCTGGCGCCGCCGGCCCCGAAATACAACCGACGCGACCCGTGCGATCGCGACCTACACCTTCTCTCGGACTCGCAACCCACCTTCGAGTCCTGCTTCCCTTGCCTCTCTCTTCCTCCTGCCAGCAACTCGTATGTCGACACTTACCACGCGCCGTGCGCACTCTACGCAGTCTAAGGGCAAGGGGCCCGAAGGCGGCACGGAGTCGCACGACCACGACCACAGTCACGATGCCCACTCGCATGCGCACTCTCATACGTACTCCCACTCTCACGGTTTCTTCAGGTCTCTTGTGCACAGACATGACCAAGGCGAGGATGGACACGCGAAGGATCCGGAGCAGATTGTGCAGGCATTGAAGGGCGAAGGTACGTCGTCGTGTCGAGCAGCCACCCAACCCCCCACCCATCTGTCCGGATTCATTCAGTGTTCTCCCTCCCCACCATGACCGCCTTGGCTTTTATCATGTCACACTAAGCGTGTGCTGACTGGCCCTCCGGTAAACAGGCGACCGAGGTAGCAAGATCACATTTCAGCCTCACCTCCAATGTCGTCCTCACAGGCGCGAAAGGCGCAGCCGGCTGGTACATGAACTCAGCCGCGCTCCTCGCGGATGCCGGTCACTGTCTGGGCGGTGCGTCCTCTCTCCTACCCACTGCCGTCAAGCTCAAAGCGAACGTAGTCCGCCCCACATAAGACCTCATCAGAGATTTCATAACGCTCTTCAGCTGGCGTCTCTCCCGCCAGCCGCCCTCGGAGAGGTATCCGTACGGGTACGGCAAGTTTGAAGTCCTGGGTACAACCGTGGTCTCTATCCTGCTCACCGGGGGCGCGCTCGGCATAGGGCTCCATTCGTGGACCTTGCTAATGGAGGTCCTGTCGACCGCGACCATAACTATGGGCCCGGGGCCTTTGCACGATGTCCTGGCGCGGATACTCGATGTTGCGCAGGCCGTACCCTCGATCGCGGCGGAGCATGCGCACGTCCACTCACATGGTGATGGAGGACACGGAGATGGGCTACTGGACCCGAACGTGGCGTGGTTCGCGGGGGTGAGCGTGGTGGCGAAGGAGTGGCTGTATCGCATCACGAAGCGGGTCGCAGACGAGGAGCGGAGCCTGGTCCTGCTCGCGAATGCGGTGCACCATCGGAGCGACGCGTTTGGGAGCGCGGTCGCATTTGTCGCGATCCTGGGCAACTGGTGGTTCCCTCAATTGCCTTTGGATCCTATAGGAGGTGAGTCATGATAGGCCTCCCTGGCTGTATTCGCGATATCTGACGGGGTGTTGCGACAGGCCTCATCGTGTCGGTGCTCATCTTCCAACAGGGCTGGGGGCTGCTCAAGACGGCGTTCTGCCAGCTCACCGACGCAGGGGTCTCGCCCAGGACGAAAGCAGTTCTGTTCGACGCCCTTCGCCCTCTCCTTCCCTCTTCCTCCCCTTCTGATGCTACGCTCTCGGATGGGCAGTCACGACCTACCACGCAGACGCTTTTAGGCATCAGCGACCTCCGGGTGATGCGCACTGGGGCGAACATGTTCGTCGACCTCACAGCGCACGTGCCCGCGCAGCTGAGCGTGAATGAAGCGACGGCCATCGAACAGCGCATCCGCGACGCGCTTGTGAAGGTGCGAAGGGACGTGAAGGAGGTGAGGGTGCGGTTCTGCGCGGTTGCTTCGGAGGAGGCTTGAGCTTGACCCCGAGAGAGAGTACTGTACTATGGTGTATTTTGAACCGTAATTTTATGACTCTGTCTGTGTTTTTGTCTTCATTATCTATGGGAGGATGCATATTGGAAGGCGTTGTGAATGTTTGCCAAGGCGGGTACTTGAAAGTTAAGTGAACCTGTCGAGCGCTTCGATGTCGGAGTGTGGTAGCACAGCGTGAAGCGTCAGATTATGGAAGAAGGGGAACATGGACAGGATGAGCGCATTCTCAGCAGATTCCCATTACATTCCCCCCAGATTCCCGCGGTTTGGGGAATATGAATGCAATGACTACGTTTCCCACCATATCCTCATCATGTTCCTCACATGTTCCCAGCGCATTCCCAGGAAGGGGAATCTGAAGGTCCGAGGTTGAAACACATATCAATGGTATTCCTATATGGCATGACCGATACCAATCAATACACTAGTGTCTAAGTGATCGCGGCATTGATATCCCGCCTACGCGCGTGCTCCCATTATTTTGTTCGCGAGCTCATGCCACTGCTCGCACATCAGCAGCGCTGGTATTGTTTGAGGTAAGTCATGAGCAGTATATGTACAGAGGCGGAGCTACGTTGACCATGGCATATAAAGCGCATGATACATGATCATGCATGACGTCGACCTGAAGGAAACTGAGAGCTCGAGATGCCCTATAGGACTGCCGCCGACGTTGAGAGTAGTTGGCTTGCTGAGGTAGGCGGAGCTGCAGGCTGAGCAGCAATTCCTGCGACGTCTACAGAGCTTAGGACTAGCATGTAAAGCTGAGGAAGAGAATATTCACCGTCAATTCCCTTCACCCATACACCCCATACCCATCATGGCTGACCTAGGGGCGACACCACCGACCACGATCCGGTTTAACCAGAATGTGCAGCGCCTAGATGGCACAATTGAGGAATTCCGGGTTTTCCACAACGCGTTCAAACGGAACGAAAAACTTACGTCACAAGCTCTGCTCGTTCTGCGCGAGGAGAACAAGGGGCTGCACGAGCAGTTGAAGATCGTGATAGAGAGGCTGGCCTTTGTAGAGGCCTTCTGTGAGATCGAAGAGGATGGCGATATCGGAGCGGAAGAGGATGGTGAGGGAGCAGAGGCTGTGGGAGAGAACTCAGGCGAGCCACCGTCCGAACCTCTCCCGGACAGCATTGCTGCAGGCCTGGAAAGCAAAGAGCTGGCAAACATGATCCCAATCAAGGTGAGCAGTTGAATATGTGTGCGCATGGGAAAATACTTACAATGGCGCAACCTGTGATAGGCTGTGGTAAACGACACATATGAGCTCCTGCTGGGTGTTCGAAACCTGGCCAAGAAGAACATACCGGGCTACCCTTCCAATGATGAGGAGTGGCCGACTGATCCTGCGACTGGCGCGCGCTACCTGCGCTTCAATTGGGCCTTGTCCGCGACAGACCCTGTCAATGCTGCCGGGATTGGCCAAGTCAAGAACACTGTCCGCGCATCTGGTGCCGCACGCAAGTTTCAATGCGCGCCCTACCTGGCAAAGGTTCAGGACACTCACCTCCTGGGGCGGATCACTACAAAATTCGAGTACATTGCGCGTGAGTACCGGCTCTATCATAAGAAGCCTGTGCAAACGCACCGTACGAGACATGGTGGTGAAGACGGGGTGGGGGACAACAATGGTTTTGGGTGTAACAATGAGGACGAGGAGGCTCCGGAGGGAGAGACAGAGACGGTGCAGCTGGAGCGCAGTGTTCAACGTGCACGGGCTGTTGCGGTGAGCAGTATTGCTAAGTGAAAGGCACATTAGGAGGGCACTGACGCACCCTTCATGCTAGGTTGCAAAGCAGCGGAAGAGGAAGGCGCAGAACACGGCATGGGGCGATCTAAAGTATGACATGGCATATCTTATCAACGCACAATCGGACCATGAAGACGAGTACAAGGAGGGCAATCGTCCTCCTGGTGTACCTGTCCGTTACCGTCGATGCAGGCCGTGGTGGCACAGTGCCTTGGTAAGCACATTGATGATGGTTTCAGAGGACTCGACCTCGAGCATGGTCATCTTCACGAGTACATTGTCGATGGTGTCAGAGGACTCAACCTCGAGCGTGAGCGGAAGCGGACGGGGGAGGAGAGTCAAGTATGAATGCTTACCGGAGTGCCTTACAGCTCCAGCAACTCTATGACGAAGTCAATGTGCAAGCGGATCCTGCCCCAGATCAGGCCCAATGTTGCGGCGACTAGGCGCGTAGACTCGGGTCGACGTTCGGCGACAACCCCGTAGGCGAGCGGCAAGGAGCCGAAAGGAAAAGAGAGAGATAGGGAGGGATAAACGTATCAAGAAACTCGACGAGGGCAGAGCGGCGGCCGGCACGAAGGCACAGGACCGACGAAAGCTAGTCTTCACGCAAACAGCGACAGACTAGTCCCAATGACCAAGTTATACATTAGCAATCAGAGAGAGATACAACGCTATGGTCACTCACCTAGTCCCAATGACCAAGAGGTCGAGATGGGGACTAGGGAGCGCCTAAGGGGGTCCTTATATACTCGAGGGGCTGCTTAGCAACCAAAGACAAGGTGTTACGACTGACTGTCGAGCGAGTAAGTGGAGACGAGCGAGGCAGGCAGGAGCGCCGACGAGCTCTGATCGCAGTGAGACTGGAGCGGAGCTCAACAGGCAGGACTGGAGACAAGTTGTGTATTGAGCGAAGTATCTACAGAGCGAAATACACGATGGCTTACCTGGAGACAAGAGGTCGAAACTAGAGTCTCCAGGTAGCAAGGGATCCAGCTATATACAGGGAACGAACAATGGGCGCTAGAGAACAATAGCGTCGCCATGGGTAC